GTTGTTTTGATTACATGCACTAGTAGGGCTATTTTTTTTTTCTTTTTTAAGATGTGCAAAACCAGAACTTTTCTTTGATAAGCTTCTGGAGTCAGATAAGCTGAAGGACAACACTGACAAAGCTGTTCAAATTTGCATCTGTTCTCCCACTGGAAAACTAGTCAGGCATAGACAGGAAGTGTTCACCTACATCTGGCTACTGTGTATCACAAACCCAATTTGAGAAGCCACATTCAGTTTCCACTGTAACACTGATAATGATAGAGCACACCTGGTATCCCAGTAAACACTGCCCTTGAGCTCGGAACCCTGTGTTTTCCAAATTACAATTACAGTATCGCTCCCCTAAAATAAGGGTTGTCAAATTATATATGAATATAGAAACTATAATGAATAAATATAGTCTTTCCCTTGAATACTTGGAATACTTACCTTACCCATACAATGGCAGTGCTGCTTCTATAAAGCAGACTAAACTAAATAACAAATTATTACTCCCCCTGCTTAAATATCAAAAGATTTTGTAGCAACAGCATTGTTACAGCATATGAGGCAAGACAAAGTACTGTTCTTGAAAAAGACAGCTGGATCAAGTTATAAATGTAGCTGGTCATATTTCAGGGTTCAAACAGGTAGCTTCTATATAGCTTTAGGTCAAAGAGTTATTGTACTATCTGTTCATAGACAGGCCCATTTTGCACTAGGAAGCCTGCCTTAAACTTGTGGTTTTCTTCATAACCCACACAAAGGAAACTAACCTCTAATTTGTAGTTGAGCCCAATATCTTTGCTGACATCTGTATCAGAAATCCCAGCAGACCACTCTTACTGATTTTCATCCAACTGTGACAAAATGTATTCAGTGATTACACATTTTATCACCAACACAACTGATAATGTATCCCAGATCTACAGGGGGAAAGACATTACTTAGCCCTTCTAAGTAGAAGTGAGGCAGCACACAGGTAGTTGTGCTTTCAATACTCTGGCAACTTTTGCAGTCAATTTGAAATCCCCTGTTCAACAACTTCTGGCAGTTACAACTTTTTGCAGACCTGAACTGCAGTTGTCAAATAAACTAAATTCAACCCAGAATCTATTTTCTTGTCTTTTCATATAGCAAGACCCACAGCAACAACAAACATATGAGTGAATCCCTGACAGTTTCCAAATGCCACAGCCAGCACATGACGCTGCTACAGCCACAATATTTTAACTTAATCCATCATCACAAAGTTGAGGAGCTGTTATGTTAGCTGTATGCAAGTGATGGCCCCAGTTGTGTCTTTAGATACTGAAAGTTACTGGCTGCATGTAGTATTATTTGCCATAAAGAGATCCTCCCTTATGCCAGTGATGCATGTATAAATGCAAAATAGAATGTAAGCAGGAGTAAAAAGCATGAGGCAACACGAGTCACCCTCTTGGTTGTCACCACTGTGGTTCCTGTGTTAGTTGTACTGCTCTGAACTCTGCTTTGTGATGCTGGCAGAGCTGCATCCCTAGTTCCACCACTCTGTTTGGGAAAACTCCTATGTCCCACTCCTATGTTTAGCCTAGCAGAAAGCTTGCAGTTCCTTGTTACCCGACCGCCTCTGCTCAAGCTGAGAAAAACTCAAGTGAGAGAGAGGTGTTATTACTTTTACTTCTGAACTTTAGAGCAAACCTTGTAGCAGAGAGGCTCCAGGACCTGCTCTGAACATCCATTTACACCTACAGCCCCGAACAGCAAACACAAGCACACTGATAAGCTGGTGCAGGTGCACTGAGGCCTGACAGAAGCTCCGGCTGTGCTGCAGGCTGCCTGCCATCACCAGATTTTATTTCTGCATTATTATTGGGCAAGGCTAAGGTGGGTATTAAGAAGGCCTGCCAAGATAAATTAAAGGTCTACCGGCCCTTAACGAGAAGCAGTATCCCCACCCTCAGCTCGGAGGTTACGGGTGACACCGCACATTATGTTCACCTTGCTTTTGTCTTCTGCCTCAAGTTTAGATGCAGTAAAATGTAATCAGGGGCAGTCATGCGTGAGCCCAGACACTTGGCTCCCGGGATCCGCCAGTGCCCGGTGCTGCGGCACAAAACCCAACTGGGGATGTCTCGGCTCAAGTTGTGGGAACAAAGGAGCGCTCCGGCTGCCTCGGCAGCTTTGGGGGCTGTACATCGCTGTTTTGGGGGCTGTACATCGCTGTTTTGGGGGCTGTACATCGCTGTTTTGGGGGCTGTACATCGCTGCTTTGGGGGGGATGCACACCGCTGTTCCCAGGGGAGCGCTGCCACCACGCAGCCCCCCAGGATCTCCGGTCACCGCACCAGGAACGCTGCACCGAAAACCTTCACAAATTTTTGTTGGAAGCGGGCCAAATGGAGCTGTGCTTGTTACCGGGTGCAAAGGCAGTGACTTTATCCCAAGGCACGCCGAATGTTTAAGCCTTCCACAAATAAATTCCTCCACACTCCCCTTAGGGATGACCTATCATCCCAGGCCAGAAAACACTTTCTGACCCTGCCTCTGGACAGGGAGAAAGCAGACCCACGTCTGCCACATTCTCCCTCCCTCCCCCTGCAATTTAAAAGTTACAGTTCCACGAAATCAGGACATACACATGGGGATTATCCCATGCATCATTTCCAGCTCTGGCTCGTCTAGTTTAAAAATATGAAAGATAAAGTTACTGAACACTTCAGAGATCAGCCTGTAACACGAAGTCCTTTTGCTAACTGGTGTTTGGACTGTGCAGATCCTTGATCCCTGACAAGAGGGCTCCAGTGATGGAAGCATTGGCATTATTAATGATAGAAGAGATGTTCTTAATGTAAACTTTGAAAGTCTTTGTAAGAATTTTACATGGCCAAATTCTTGCAGAAACACTGGAAAGTTGGTTTCTAACCAGTTCATTTTGTCCAGCCCCTTTTAATAGCCTCCTTGTACTAACCCATTCAAGGGGCGTTATTTTTTTTTAAATAAAAGCCCCACACTAATTGATTTAAGTCACCTACAATGGGACTTGGGTTTTTGTTCATTTGATACAAGCATACACAAATACTTACCTCGTGAATAGTTAAAAATCAAAATCATTTACAAGAAAGATATCCTTTAAAATTCACAAAAGCAAAGTGATTTGATTGAACTTTAGGCTTTCAGGAGTAACATCTAATAATAGTGTCAGCTATGCAAGAATTTAATGAGTAGTGACCAGTGCTGTGTGTTTGAAAGATCTGACCAATTTTTAAAGTGCCAGAATTACCAAAAGAAGCAAGTACAGGTCCTTGAGATCCAAAAATCTCAGGATGATCACCTCCTCCTGTTTTAATTAAAGTACCACATACCTCCAGAGAGAAAAATACAGCTCACTGTGCTGAAACAAAGAGAATAAACCACACTTGCAGATACATGCCACGATTCAGGCACAGGTTGAAAAGCACATTCTGAAAGTATTCACCCCATAAAAGACAGCACTTGGAATTACTTATTTGCTATCAATTTCTCTGCAGGCTAAGACTTTTGGTGCATATTTTACTGTGCCTTCTGGCTCTACAGATCACAGATCTGAGAAGATAAAGGCCCTTCAAACACTTTACTGCTTCAGCCTACATGACTCTTACAGGTATAGGTACAGTTTCACCAGTACCCATTTATGCTTACTTTAATTCATTTACCAAAGAAAGACTCAGCCTTCCCTCCCTCTTCAGACACAAAAGAAACTTTCTGCCCCATCTAAAAACTTCAGGCAAGCAAGGGATAATACATCTCCCCATTTTCAGCATTAGCAATCCATGGAGGGGGGAGGGAAGAAAAAGTGAACCAAATCCTTTTGAACAAGGTTATTAAGTGTTATCAAAGTAACTGTGCCTCCAGGGATGGATTCCAGCCTGTTCCCAAATATTATCCCCCCATCACCAAAACCCAGTGACAACACACACCTCATCTGTCACTGCTGGAAGAGAGCTGGGGAGAAAAAGGGTCTTGGAGACTGTAAAAGCGATTAAACTGGAACTGAATGGAGGTGGGTAAATCACCACCATCAAAGCGTTACAGGCACATAAAGGCACACAGGTGAAGAGGATAATAAAAGCGCTCCACTAGGAGCGAATACAGCCGAAATATACGCTTTTCAATAAAGGTTTTCAAAAAAGGAGACACGGGAGAGGGGCTGCGAGAAGCTCTCCTCCTCCTGCCTCCTTTCATCTCCCAAAAGGCACCATCAATTGCTCTTCTCCTCCCACCTCCCCCACAAAAAAAAATCCCAGTATTAAAATACTTTTGCCCAGGAGACAGCGAGCTCAAGTCCCCGGGAAGTTTACACAAAGTTAAACCACAGATATTAATTTTCACCCCCCCCCTCCTTTTATTCTAAAAGGGAAAAGTCTGCAGGAGGAGGGAGGGCAGGGATGGACGGCGGTCCCCGACCCGCTGCCAGGGGTGCGGGGCCAGCTCGCAGGCTTCGGCTCCCTACCTGGAGGGTCCATTTCAATGTAAAATATCAGCTCTGTGGAATAGGGCATCATCACTTCCCTCCAGTCCGTGTCATCGCGGTCCATATCCCACAACGTGTTGTACATCGCGACAGCCAAGTCCCGGTAGGGTTAGAAATAAGAGGTTGGATAGCTCGGCTTTTAATCGAGAGGTGAAGGGGAAAAAAAAAAAAAAGCGGGGGGAGGGATAAAAAGAAAGAAAAAAAAAAAAAAAAAACAAAAACGAAAGCCGAGAAGAATTCACCTCGCTGTAAAACAACACTTCTCACAAAAAAAAAAAAAAAAAGAAAAAAAATTAAAATCGCAAAATTAAACTTGAAAAAAGCCTCCACGCGAGTCACCTCAGCAGCTGCCTTACAGGAACTAAAGGCAGATAGGAATATATATAATAATATATAGAGAGAGTGCTTCTTTTTGTTTAAAAAGACACCTTTCCACAGAAAAGCCACTTTCCTGAATTCTTTCTAAAAATCGCCGTTTTCGGGGTATTTTTAAAACACAAGCCAAACAAGCCCCCCACAGGAAAGCCGGGCGGTGGTGGTGGGAAGCAGCGGCTAAAAAGGGGCGATTTCAGTCTCTGGATGAATTCTATCCGCCGGCGGAGGACGCGAAAGGAGGCAGCGGCGGCGGGCAACAATACGGGCGGGCGCGGAGCCCGAGCGGGGCGGGCGGCGCTGTGCCCGCGGTGGCTGCGCGGGGCTCAGCGGCGGGCGGGCGGCCCGCGGCGGGGCCCGCCGTGCCCTGCTGGCGGCGCGGGGCGGCGGGCGGCGGCGGCGGGCGGCGGGGCCGGGCTCGGGGCGGCCGCGCTCGGTGACATTTTAAGCGGCTCTGAGGGGCCCGGCCGCCGCCACCCGCCTCTTGCCGGGGAGCGGGCCACGCCCCCCCGGCGCCAGGGGGCGGGGCTTCGCGCCGGCTCTTTAACCCCTTGGAGGTGAACGGGGGTGTGTGTGATTGGGCGCTTCCACGGGGCGGAGAGAGGGGTGAGCAAAAAAATTCAGACATAAATAGAAAAATGTATCTTTGCGCTGGTGAGGCGGACCCACACAGAAAGATTAGTATAGAATAAAAGTCTGCTTCTCCCCTTTTCTAACTTTTATCCGGCTCGCTTTCGCCACTTTTCTCGACGCCTTTTCGCAGCGCTCCCCCCGTGCTGAGGCGCGCGGTGGCGGTGGTAGGTCCGCTGGCTGGCCGTCCGCCAAGGGGCCGCCGCCGCGGAGCACGCGCGGGGGGCGGGGGGAGCGGAGCGCAGTTGCCAGAGCTGCTGCCTTTGTCTGAGGGAGCAGCGAGCGCCGCGATTGGCAGAGGCCTGCGGGCGGCTCAGCCAATCGGCGCGCGGCGGGGCCGGCCGGCTCGATGGCGATTGGCCGCGAGCGCCGGTTACTAAGCGGGACAAAGGAAGGGGAGCGCTGGGGCGAGTGGGGTTCGGGGGCGCGGGGTGACCGGCCCCGCGTCCCGGCTCCGCGTCCCGGCCCCGCTGCTCCCCGACACCGCCGGCTCCAGCGCTGGCTCCGGGAAAACTCCTCCTTCCCACAGCGCTGAGGGGTTGCCCCCGCCCCGAGCCGGTGCGCCGCAGCACCGGGGCTACCTGGCACCCTCCAGCCCGGGCCGGCCGCCGTGTGGGGATGGGTGAGGCTTGTGGGAGGCCCGGGCACAGGGGACCCTCTGAAGGTAGAGCCGCTGGCCACATCCGCGGCGGGAGCCGTCCTGGCTGACCCCTCAGCCGCTGCACTGGCCACAAACGCTGGCTCTCCTCCCTCCTCTGCCCAGCCCTGGCAGCTGCCTGCTGTGTGAGCCACGTAATCTGCGTTATAACCTGCCCATCTCAGAGGGCACCAGAACGACCCTCGAGAAAAACCCGAGGCGCTTTCTAGTGACATAACCAGCGGGGGAAAAAAACAAAACAAAACAAACCACAGGAAAAGGCACCAAACTGGATGTCTGTCTCTCACCAGGTTTGGGATAAGGCTGAGCTGCAAACACACCCGAAATGGAACCTCAGCCTGCCTGGCAGCCACATCCCGATGGGCAGCCACAGCCCGCAGCCCGCAGGCACCGGCGGGAGGCAGGAGTGCAGCCAGCTCGGCACTCAGCCGCGGTTTTGGCGCGGCACAGCATCCTTAGAGAAACGCTGCTGCTGAGAAATCAAGGAAAAGTCCTTTCCCGAGACTCCCAACCAGTGTCAGAGGCACAAGGATGAACAACTCCTTGATCTGCTGTGGAAATCTCAGAGAATGTTGGAAAATCCAACACCGAAGGTGTCTGCTTTATTTGCACTTCAAAGCATAGAAGAGCAAGTGACGAATAATTTGTCCTGCTCTGGCATTAGGTAGCAGCTCCTGAAAACACCCTCCTGGCTTGGCTAAACCTTAGGGTGACTGCGACATTGAATAACTGAAAGGCTGTACACGATGGAAGAGTATGAGGGAAGATCTGAAGTTTGCTGATATATCACAACTTCCACAGCAAGCAATTTAGAGCAGCCTGCTCCAGGAACAGAGCTCCTTGAGGGATGGACGGCTGCAGAAAAGCACAGGGCTTTGATTCAAGTCACTCACTGTACATAAATTAATTTTATAAACCCATCCACAAACTCTGATTAATCCACGATAACCAGATATTATTCCTTTTTCTAATTTTTAAATTAAATTATTGAGCTGATACCATGTATCAGCTCCAGCTTCTTCAAAGGGAAATGCCCTCCTTGGAAGCGCAGCTGGCTCCCGCAGTGAAATTTAACTTGGTGCTTTGTGCCCAAGCTGCCCACCTTGCCAGTGGGCATCCCACAAGGGTCGGGCATGGGAGGGGGTGGAGAAGTGGATGCTGCTTTGCAGGCCCTGCACAGCTAAAAAATGGGGCTGTGATCCCTATGGCAGCCCCCAAACTTAGATAAGCAGCTGTGGCAGAGATAGGGAAGGAGGCAGATTCAGGTTGAAATTCATTTTCCCCCTTCCTGCACCTCATTATAAGTTCCACCCACATAAGACCTAATTACTTGGCTTTTATGCTGGCAAAGTGGATTTCATCCTTGCTGTTTCCCATGGTGGTTGCCTTCATTTTCATGGCGGCACTGATGGTTACAGCTTATTGATGTTTTCACTTTAGTGATTTAAAGCAGAATACATTTTGTTATTAGCACTGGTTTCTCTCATTGCTCCTTTAATCAAAGATGCAATTTAAGGCAGAGGATTGTGTGTAATGGTAAACAGTAGGATAATGCCTTGAGAGAACAGAATATTAATGTGTTTTTATTTCTCAAAACTGTGCTTATAATTTACCCGAGATTGCTTGGCTTCCAAAACACACATAGAGGGTGCTCCCTTTCCTACCACACTGCCTGCCTTGCACCAGGGATGAGCATGGTGTGCATTTGTGTGTGCCAGGGGGGAGAGGGAGGCACATCTGCTGCCTTACACGCTGCTAAACCCCCTCTGCTTGTGCCTTTCTCACAGGCACAAGTTGTGAACATCGGAGAGCAGAGACAAAACCGGGAGCACACCGAGGGCTCGGGGATGCTCAAGGTCTGGGAGTGCTCCCACTGCCAAACACAGGCCATGAAAACCCAGTACATCACCCCGAGATGAAAAAAGCTACATTCAAACACTGACACAAAACAATGGTGGTCAAAGCAAGGGTCAAAGTGCTGGAGGAGGGGTCCTGGTGCCCCACACTAAAGCTGAAAGACAAGAAGTGAGCTGAGTGCCTGCTGCCTTCCCAACATCCTGACATCTCATGTCGACGGCTGTGCATTTGCTCACTTTCCTTTCCTTGGATCTGACAATTTGCATTTCAAGGCAAGATTAAATATTGAAGTTTTGAGCGCTTCCATGTGCTTCAGGAGGAGCTGAACAGACCTGCAGTGGAACAGACTGAACACAGAAAAGCCATTTGTGCCAAACTGCTTGGTTTCCTCTTTGCCGAGCCATGATAATGTGATATCCGACAGCTGAATGTAGGCCACAACAGGCTTTTATAGTTGGAGGGCTGCAAGAGGGAGGGGGGCTGGATCCTCAGTGCTGCCAGCCAAATGCAGAAAATGATGAGAGACTTTTGGGGTAGGCTGGAGACTCCTAACCACTCCGGAGATCCAGATATTAGCTGCACTGTTAGCACAAGCTCAGGGGCTGCTGGAGGGGAGCTTGGAGAAGGTAGGACTGCACTCACATCAGCAAGGACAACTCCCTGGCCGTCAGTAGATGCTACATGAAATTACTGGCCTTTTGCTGCACAGACACTGGGATTTTTGGATGATGTGCTGTGACTGGTGGCCAGCTTCCTATGGGGGCAGCCACACCTTGCAGGGAACAGTACAAGAAGAACAACTAGTTATGGCAGTTTGGTTTAGTTAACAGATTCTCCCTGCCAGTTTCTCAGCTCCTGGTGATGAGGAGATGAGGGAAGTTGTGAGGGTTTGTCTGCTTTGGCTCAGATGCTGTTGCTGGGGTCTCAGTGTGGCTCAGTACACCGCAAACCAACCCCAGGACTTGCTGGCAGGAGAAGAGATGTTGGGAATGGCAGAGGTTCATCCTGCCTTCCTGAACCACGGGGACAGTGCAAGCACCATCTTCCCCATCAGTTTTACAGTCTGAGCCCCAAAAGTACCACAGAGACCACAAAGCTTTTGCCACAAAATTAAGAGTATTAATCCCTGCAGGGGTGAAGCAGAAGCAGTTTGCTTCCCTGCATCCTCCAGAACCTTCATGTGAAATGTAATGGGTGTTTTTAACAAGGACTGTGCTTTCTCTCTCTGTTTTATAGTCATTTTATGTCCTAACAGGCTGCAAAACAGTTGCCTCACTCCACCCCAGATGCGGCCACATTTCTGTGGTGAGGAAAAACTCTGGCAAGTGTGCCGAAGTCGGGGGCTTTGGTTTGAAAATTATACATTGGATTAAAACCTGTATTAAAGAATAATATGCGGTCTGCAAAAAACTTTCAAATGAAACACTTCAGTGTTAGGAAGTGTCTTATTTACGGCAGTGAGAGCAGCTTGTGCCCTTTTCCCTCCCCTGTCTGCTGGGTAAGGAAAGAGTTTGAAATAAGGGCTCATGTCCATAAAGGTTGGAACACAAGGCATGCACATAGAGCTGAGCTTGTGAGGAATCATACATTAGGCATTTCCTAACTTAAAAGCACTTGGCTTTGCATTGTAAACAACATTCTTTTAACATAGGAAATAACATTTTTAAAAAAATAAAGAAAAAGATCTTTTAAATAAATGTCTACAATGTAGGTTGTTGCAGCTGGACCTAAGGTATTCCTCAGCAAGGCTTGGACTGGCTTTTCCTCACTGCTCCAGAGGCTTCTCCCCAAAAAATTGCAGGAGTAATGGTCTGGGATGGAAGCAGAAAGCTGCTCTCCTGCAAGGGGAGAGGAGGTGTGTGTGGCTTTTGCAGCTGGACAGTGGATGCCAACCCTGTGCTCTGCACATGGGTGTTTGGGGTGGACACATCTGCACCTGGAGGGTGCCCGGGGTGGAGGAGGGGGTGGGCACGGGGGGGTGAGGGAAAGGGCATGCCGCACTGAGCTGTACTGAATTGCTGCTTTGGCAGACAGCACCGGGCCAGCTCTTCAGAAAGTTCACGTTCAGTTATTGTTTTGACAGGCTGCCAAAGTTTTCCTGAGGAATGCAGGCAGCAGAAGGGAAATGGTGATTTTCAAACTTTTTTTTTTTTTTTTTTTTTTTATAACTCAGCCAAACCAGAATGGAATTTCATGGGAAAAGTGAAAGGTACATCTCTAGCCTCGGGGCATCGTTGCTGCCAAGTTTCAGGGTCTGGCTGCAAACAATGGAGGTGTCGGAGCATCTCCAAAGCGGTGCACCCTTGCACGCACTCACATGCGCTCACGCACACTCAAACACACGCTGAAAGCATCTTTAATGCTCCCAGAAAACTGACATTAACCTGCAGTGCTTTAAAAAAGTATATGCGTGGTGTAAAAGCAGGCGACAAAGCAGCTGATGGAAGGTTTGCGGCTTGGGAGGACATTTCGGTGCTCTCCCCACCCCAGTCCTGGCGTGCAGCCATGGGGGCACCGCTGCTCTCCACATGCTCTTCACTAGGGCAGTCCCGGAGCCACGGGGTATTTCTGCAGGTCTCCCTTCCCCTAGGAAGGGCAGGAGGTTGTCAGCTCCCCTCCTCCTCCTCCTCCTCCTGCTCCACAGAGGGAGCAGAGCAGCCGGTGAGCCGGGCTCTAGTGCTGCAGCACCCCGGGCTCTGCGGGGCTGTGGAACCGGGCTGGGGAACTGCCAGTTACCTTATATTTTCCAGTACACTAATTTCTCTTGTCATCTTGCCAGTGACAAACAGAGAGAGTTAAACAGAGCAATCCATTAAAGAAGCAGCCTGACAATCCGATTGTTAAGGGTTTCAGCGATCCCCATTTACACTGGCTTGAAAAAAATTTTGCCTCGAGCGGCTCCAATTACAGAATTATCGGACCACACTCTGGTCCCTTTGTGCACTTCGCATCTCTGTCATCGTTCCAGGCCTTTCTCTATTTTGTTGCTTGGAAATGGTGAGCAAAATGGAAGGAGACTTGTAACAAATTCAGAGAAATTAGAGGGGGGATAAAAGAGAGTGGGAAAAACTCCTTCCCTGATTCTAATGTCCTAAATCAGGACACTTTTAAAATGTAACACTTAATGTTACATTCCTAATGTATAGGAATTTTAAAATGTAACACTTAATGTTACATTCCTAATGTATAGGAATTTTAAATATTTTTCACTTCCTCTATTCATTGCTTTAATGCACTGGAACTACTTGCTTAGATTCAAACCCTCCCCCCCCCCCCCCCCCCCCCCCCAAGGAATTTACAATAACCACTCTGTAAATTCCTCAGGTCTGATTTTAAGAGGTACTGTAGAACTTTATTCGTGGAGGAAAGAAATAATCCCAATACCTTCCTGCAGTAACTCTTTTTAATAAACATGGCAGTGTATGTTTTGATCCCAGCCAGTGATGCAAGCAGCGGGAAGAGGAAATCAACAGCACCTCTAGGAAAAGCGAGGTCTCAGCCCTGCTCTGCTGACATCCCACTTGGTGACCTTCTGGATTACCAGCATGGGTTTGAAGGTGGCACCATTCCCGGTAAGAGGAATTCTGAAAAGCCCAGAGGATTTTCACTTCCACAAAACAAAGCTTGAACTCTGTAGATTTGTTATTATTATGAAAAAAAACCCAGCACAATAATTTCCCTACTGTAGGATGTAAAGCTGAAGGGTTTCCTAACTGTTCACCTTTAGCTGAGCAAAGCATGGCCCCCATGATGCTGCAGCTACGTGACATGGACATGCCCTCAGCGCAATGTGGCATCACCTATCTTCCAGCAAAGTCTTTCATTCCTGGCCTCCCAAACACTAATTTTACCATCCCTCTGCCAGTATTATCCTGGTAGCAGTACCTTCATAAGTTCACAACATGTAGGAGCCTCCCCCCTTTCCTTGCAGTGGAGATCATCTGGTTTCAGAGGGAGGGAAAGTCAACACAGCCACCCTTGGGCAGTGCTGGAGGAAGCTGAGATCAACCTTCAGTTGCAGGTTGCAACTGAATGCACCAGGGAATGCTGGCTTCCCTCTGGCCCAAAACAGAAGGAAGTTTCTCATGGCTGAGTCCCCAGTCCTGCCTTGCAAGTCCTTTGCCCCCATCCCTTTCCCTGGGGTTTGATGGAACTGACTTATCAATTT